CCAACACGTGGATTTTGCTTCGCGCACTGTGGAAACCTTTTTAAAAGGCAATACGCCTCCAATCGTAATCATGGAGGGTAACGCCAGCGGAATTGCGTAAATACTAAAAGGAAAAGCGGAGAAACTTTTGAAGGCCTTTATGAACAGGTATAATAGGAAACTGCACGACGAGTCAAAGAGGAGTCAATCTTTTATCATCACACCATTTGCCTTCCTTGTCTAAAACGAGGGTACTTTGCCTCGAGAAAAATTGTATTCAAGACGCAAAACAATGGAGGAGTCCCAAGAACGGATAGCCGAATTCATCCGATGAGGACATGCGAATTTCACAACGAATAGCCGACACACGACAAAACTGAGCAAGTGGAGGGAGATGCGAAGGACGGTAAACGACGTTCGGCTAAATAGATGCGTAAAAAGCGGGGAGCTTTTCCCGAACATTTAAATTAAATCAACTATACACCCCTCAACACACCTAGGGCAAAAGTTCTTGAAGAAGCTCTAAACGCTGAACATTCTCACACTCACATCAAACAAGCCATCTCCAAGATAGATCAGATGAAAGGAAGATTGTCATTTCCATCAGAATCTGGGGCCCATACCACAGACAGATGCAATTACGCTGAAAAACGAAATAGAACCGCTCATCGCGGCAGGACACCTCCTCCTAATTACATACAAGAACAAGAAGAAGTCCGAACGAGCGTCATCGGAAGAACGAACTCAGGCGAGACATAGTCGCAGGTCCTGCTCGTCATCGTGAACGATCGGTTCGCAGGAGTTATAAACTGAAGATAAGCAATCCAAATCTCTATTTAATGTCCTCTTTAAATTTTTGATTTAGACTTTTGTTATTAAACTTTCGTTGTTGCAATGAATAACCGAGCAATGTCACGCTCGATCATCGTTTACCAATGTCGATGCAGAAGAATTTCATCCAACAAGGTAAAACCTCTAAAGCCGAACGGTACAGCCTGTGTCCCTAGGAAGCCCTCCTACGGTCGAAGACCGAGCGGTTAAATCCCCCCCCCCTCAGGGGGGAAGAGGGTAAAGCCCTCTCTACGATGACGGTAAATTCCCGTTCACTAGGAAGCACTCCTACTCAAAGCAGAGGTAAACCCTCTCAAAGCAACGGTAAAAAGCCCGTTCCCTAGGAAGCACTCCTAGGTCGAAGACCGAGCGGTAAATCCCCCTGGAGAGAGGTAAGCGCTCCCCTCAACACGCGAACGGTTTAAAATCCGTTCACTAGGACAGCCCTCCTAGCCAAGTAGAGGTAAAACCCTCTCCAAGCCGAACGGTAAAGCCGTTCCCTAGGAAGCACTCCTAGGTCGAAGACCGAGCGGTAAATCCCCCTCGGGAGAGAGGTAAACCCTCTCAACGACGAACGGTAAATCCCGTTCACTAGGCAACACTCCTAGCTCAAAGCAGAGGTAAATCCCTCTCGGTTAATGTGAAGGTCGAGTAATAATCCCTCTCGGTTAATGTCGAAGGTCGAGAGGTAAACCCCTCTCGGTTAAGTCGAAGGTCAGAGGTAAACCCCTCGCGGTTAAGTCGAAGGTCGAGAGGTAAACCCCTCTCGATTTAAAGTCGAAGGTCGAGAGGTAAATCCCTCTCGGTTGATGTGAAGGTCGAGAGGTAAATCCTCTCGGTTAATGTGGAAGGTCGAGAGGTAAATCCCTCTCGGTTAAAGTCGAAGGTCGAGAGTTAACCCCTCTCGGTTAAAGTCAAGGTCGAGAGGTAAACCCTCTCGGTTAAAGTCGAAGGTCGAGAGGTAAATCCCTCTCGGTTAAAGTAGAAGGTCGAAGGTAAAGCCCTCTCGGTTAATGTCGAAGACCGAGGGTAAACTCCTCTCGGTTTCCTGTTGAAGGACGAGCTGTAAATCCACTCGGTTAGTGTCGATCGTTGATCGTCGAGCGCCGATCGTCGAGCGGTAAAACCCGCTCGCTTATGTGTCGAAGACCGAGAGGTAAACTCCTCTCGGTTCCTGTTGAAGGACGAGCTGTAAATCCAGCTCGGTTAGTGTCGATCGTTGATCGTCAAGCGTCGATCGTCGAGCGGTAAACCCGCTCGCTTATTGTCAAAGACCGAGAGGTAAATTCCTCTCGGTTCCTGTTGAAGACGAGCTGTAATCCACTCGGTTGTGTCGATCGTCAAGCGTCGATCGTCGAGCGGTAAACCCTCGCTTATTGTCAAAGACCGAGAGGTAAATTCCTCTCGGTTCCTGTTGAAGGACGAGCTGTAAATCCAGCTCGGTTAGTGTCGATCGTTGATCGTTGAGCGTCGATCGTCGAGCGGTAAAACCCGCTCGCTTATTGTCGAAGACCGAGAGGTAAACTCCTCTCGGTACCTGTTGAAGGACGGCTGTAAATCCAGCTCGATTATTGTCGTTCGTCGAGCGTCATCGTCGCGCGGTAAAACCCGCTCGCTTATTATCGAAGACCGAGAGGTAAACTCCTCTCGGTACCTGTTGAAGGACGCGCTGTAAATCCAGCTCCGGTTCGTGTCGATCGTCGGCGTCGATCGTCGAGCGGGGGTAAAACCCGCTCGCTTATTGTCGAAGACCGAGAGGTACACTCCTCTCGTTTCCTGTTGAAGGACGAGCTGTAAATCCAGCTCGGTTAGTGTCGATCGCGAGCGTCGATTGTCGACGGTAAATTCCACTCTCTTATTGTCGAAGACCGAGAGTAAAATTCCTCTCGGTTCCTGTTGACGGGGCGAGAGGTAAATTCCTCTCGGTTCAGTGTGAAGGACGAGCGGTAAACGCCATCGGTTTGTCTTTACATGGAAAAAGTTCTAAAAAGAACTCTCTTCAACCACCGACAAGAGCGGCAGAAGCTCACCAATACAACAAACACACCCTCCCTCAAACTATAAGTCCTATAGTTAACACGGCTAAAGCCAAACGCTAACTCGGACTTGGGGGGGGAATGTATAGTATGAAATATTAACCGAGCGGTTACAAACAACCAACCAGTATTTAGGTAATCTGTTTATATCTTATTCTGTTTATATTTTATTGGGCTTATATCAGCTCAGGATCCATGAGGTAAATTATAAATACAAAGCCAGGACCAAAGCCAGGTAGGTTCCACTTACTCTACATGACTCTCAAATACTCAATAGTGATAACTATTCACTAAATATCAACCAAGAGCCGAGGCTCTCAAATCACAAAACACGCCTAACGCTCTAACTTGGGCGTCGGATTACCTTTGCAGGTACATCCCCCCTCGTCAAGAAGAATCGATCGTTTTGCGCCAACACCGATCGGCCAACAGGAGGAGTTTGGAAGCGAGCGAGCGGCCCAGACGCGTCAGCAGGTTAGTCTCTCGGTCCCTAAAAGTATCTACCGAAACAATAAGAAATATAGTTAGACGATAAAAAAAATAATTCACATAATTGATGTATATCACCAGTACCACCTTTTAGGCCGGCATGCTAATAATATAAGGGAAGCAATTGCAAATATTAATGTTTCATTCTATTCATTCTCACTACAGGTGGGATATTATTATATGAAAATTACCTTAAAAGCATCGACACCAATCATGTTTTTGTTTGAATTTGAATGCAACCAATCTATTAATATCTTATTAAAATTTAAAAAATTAAAAATAAATGCAACCATAAAGTATTAAAGATCAGGGAAACAAGTTTCTTTTCCCGATATTTTAGTCCATGATAATATAATTCTCAATAATCTCGAATATAAATCAAAAACTAAATTGATTAAAAATAAAAAGTAAGAATAAAATGATAACATTAGAAATATTTAAAGACGAAAATAAGTAATATATAATATTAAGATTGAATTGTATTTTAAATTAACTTTTTTATTTCTTCAAAATGAAAAAAAAAATGATTCTAGTTAATTTGAAAAACTAAAATAAGTCTTTTAAGATTTAAAATTAGGGTTCAATGTTTGAACTTATTTTCGTAAAACAATATATAGATTTGTGAAATTTAAAAGAACTAAAGAGAATCATAAAATTTGAGCAACCAAAACTATAATTTCTTGTCCTAAATTTGACACACTAAAAACATAATCAAACCATCATTTAACTAATTCCATAATATATTTCAATTTTAGTAACTGAGCTGAATAACGAAACCTGTCACTTTAAGAATCAAAATAACCATCTTAATACTGCTTATAACAGAACACAAGTTCGTCACAAAAGATGATTAACTTGTCTTCTTGCATGGAAAAATCCAAATACACAGTCACCAAGAAATGCTTGGTCAATTTCATTCGAAAACCACAACAGATTTGTAGGCCTGTGAAAGCGAAAGTTGGTAGCACATAGTAATAATACGTCGATGATAATAATACTTGATGACTTTTCTACATCAGCCACCAATTAAGACCTTCATCAAACCCAAAACCTACGTTATCATCACTCTCTAATACCTTTTCTAATCCTTATCTAAAGCTGTTGTATCTGGTTTAATCAACCACAGTTTCAAAACCAGCTGATGCAACACACAAGAAGAAAGAGAAGAGAATATGAAGACCCCATGTTTTGTCTCAGAAAGGGTTCAGCCTTTTGCAAAGTTGGAATAAAAGTTGGACAAGTGTTACAATTCACAAGGTGACAAAAAGGGTATGTCATAAATAAAGTCACCCTACCCTACAGTACTACACACATGCTCAACAAGATTTCCTTTAGTCAACTCAACTATATATCGTCACAGTTCTTATCTTCAATCTCTCTTTATCAACTATGTTGCAACCCTTCACCTTTCTTCTTAGGAAGGCCAAATCCATGTTGAAGCAACCAAGAATCATGATGAGTGCATGCTGTAAAGAAAAGCTACCCAAGAGAAAATTTTCTTGCATGTCAACAACCTCTTCTTTCCTTCACATGGAGCTTTCCTCTCAGTTTCATCAAGTTTTCAAGCTGATTGACTCTAATGGGGATGGGAAGATCTCAACCGCTGAGCTGAGTGAAGTGCTTGCATGCCTTGGATACAACAAGTGCAGTGCTGCAAAGGAAGCCGAAGGCATGGTGAGAGTGTTGGACTTCAATGGAGATGGGTTTGTGGACTTGGATGAGTTCATGGTTGTTGTCATGAATGGCATGGAGAAAGAAAAGGAAGAAGAAGAAGAAGAAGAAGAAAAGATTGATGATTATCTGATGGATGCTTTTCTTGTCTTTGATACTGACAAGAATGGTCTCATCTCAGCGAAGGAACTGCACAGAGTTCTCTTCAATCTAGGGTCTGAAAACTGCAGTCTCAAAGACTGCAAACGTATGATCAAAGGTGTTGATAAGAATGGAGATGGCTTTGTAGAATTCCAAGAATTTCGATGCATGATGCGAAGTTAGAGTTTCAAGTGTTTTTCTGTTTCTCTTTGTTCTGTATTTCACTGTTGTTTCATCTTTTCTTTTTCTCAGTTCACAAACATGTCTCAACTAATGTAATTACCATCATGTTTTTTTTTCTTTTCTGACCTTTCTTATAACATATAATTAATAACATAAAAAATTTGTAGATTATATGCATAGTGTAATGCTATGATTAAGAGTTTTGCTAAACTTAAAGGGTAGTTTTGTATTTTTTTTTTTGGTTCAATTCTCTAATGAGTAGTCTCGTTGGAATGTGAAATAGCAAGAAATGAGAGATTTACACGACACAAACTTCTTTCTCATCAAGAAGAAAATTAGTTGTTTATTCGTCCATATCAAATTGATAGACCTTTTAATATTAAATATTATATTTATTGACATTATGAATTATTAAAAAAATCTAGTTTTGACTCCAAATAATTGTGATTATCTTGAATCCCTTAAAAGTTGGAAAGGAATGTAAGAGTATATACCAAAACAATTATTTTATCAATTAAGTGATTTCTTGTTTTAAAATGAAATTATTTTATAAACCTTCAAAATATTCATCAACAATATATATATAATTAAAGAAAAAAAATAATAAATTTAGGAGATGAGTTTCCACACGTTTTGAGATAAAAAAAAATAGATATTTAAGTGGGATATGAAAAATATGAGTACATTATTTTTTTTAGGAAATGATTTTTCACACATTTTGAGGTGATAAATTATGGATAATGGTTTTGGAGAAAAGGAAAATGATAGGCTGACATCAGGTATAGACATAAATGTACACCTGTCCTCTGACACAATTAAAAATAAATAAATCAAAATAGTATAAAATAAACTTAAAATTTTTTTTATCAAAGTATCATTTATGTATTTATGTTTGTGAATTTGATAATATTTTTTTTACCATAATATATACCAATAATTAGTGGCCTTATCACAAAATTTCTAATAGGCTAATGCTTCTGCACCCCTAATTACTAACTGCGCCTCCATAATACTGAAGAAAAAAATTCAAACAACGAAAGTTTTTTCAGAAACATATTTCACGGTGTTTTTCGAAAAAAAATTCGAGAACATATTTATGTATGAATATTTCAGAAAATACATTCCAAAACACATTTTATGAATTTCAGAATCAATTTTAAAGTCTCATTTCGAAAATTTATTCAAAAACAGATCTCCTTCGTTCTGAACATTCCATTTTGAGAATTTTATCCCAAAAATTGTTTCATAAATTTTATTCCAAAAATATTATTTCAGAAATTTTGAAAATCTTGTTCTGGAAAACTTCCAGAATATGTAATCTAGAGGTCACTATTTCAGAAAGAAAAATGTCATTTTCTGAAAGTTTGAGGGAGTGGATGAAGAAACTGTGGGAGTACGGGAAGTAAAAAGCAGTTTCCTAGATTCCATTTTCAATGTCATTGTTTTTTCCAAATGATGTTTTCAAAAAGTTTGTTTTGAAGCTTACTTTGAAAATATTGTCCCGAAAATTTTTTCAAATTAGGTAATGTAGCAGTCACATTAAAATATATTATGAAAGATAGAAATATAACTTTAAAAATCATAGGGTGCAACTAGTAATCATAGGGTACAGAAAACCAAACCCAATATTGAATATGTTGGGCCATCTTTTGGGCCTTTCGTCCTGCACATCTAAGTTTAAGTGTGATGACAGAAATATCCTTTTCGGAGCAGATAACGTACCTCTCCGGTGAAGGAAACCACCGTGTGCACGCTGGAAGGAGGCCACCACTACTGCTGTTCTCTGCTCCGATGACTAATCCGCACGAACCCGGGCCACTGAACTCTTCCCTGCTGCAAAAATCGCAGCTAACACCTTGGAAGCAGCTGCCAGCTTCAAAGCTTGGAGGAGATGGAGATTAAACGGTTAAAAAATAGGGTTAAAGTAAAAAAACGTAAAAAGGTTATTCGTGGTATTTCACTTGTTTAGTTGGGTGCAGTGAAAAAAAAGATAAGCTGCAGGAAGCAATATCACCCATGATAAATTGGAAACACTTTAGTTTATTGAGCCCATAACTTCTATGAACAAGAAGACAGTTACTTTTTGCACTACCATACATTTTTCCATATACCCTATATTTTAGTATTATAAAATGTGCAATTCAAAATATAGATTGTGTTATGAAGTATATGATTTAATATAGATTTTTACTTTGTATTTCAAAATCTATAAAGTTTATTTTATTTTAAATTATACAATTTTGAATGAATTTTTTATTTTGTATTTCAGAAATTAAAATTTGAAATACAAAACATTGTTTTCCAAACTATACATTTGAAAAACAAAATTTTATGGAAAATGTAACACCCCAAAAATATAATATAAAATTATATAAAAGAGTTATCATAGTTATGATAAGATAGAACAGTTAAATGCTAAAATATAAAGTGTAATCTTACAGTCATCCAAAATAACTATAAAATTTAAATTTTATATACAACTAGTATATTATCAAAACTATTTACAATACTACTCTAACTAGTCTATACTGCTACATCATCTTCATCCAAAGCTTGCTCTAGAGAAATTTCCTCTCCCTCTGCTCACACCCACAAGATGATCATTGCAAAGGAAAAACACCACATATACAAAACACAATCACAAATAGAAGTGTAAGGTAGATATAAAATAATTCATATATTAATATAACTTACAACATACACATAAGTATTCATCCAAGACAAACTAGTTCAGACCTCCTAACATATTATGACCTAGACTTGAGAGTCCGAACTTAGAATGATTGTCGAACTATGGCGGGTTGTGCACTTGTGGTGGCCTCTACTTCTTTGCAAAGTCATTGCCAACGGGTTTCACCCTACCACACTCCCAAGGTTCCCTAGTAAAAAAGAGGATTTTAACGCGCCTTATATGCTTCGGTTTCAGGAAAACCGAAGCATATCAAAATGCGGTGGCATTTTCGTAGTTATTACGAACTTACATGTCTCAGTTGAGGGGGACCCGAAGCGTAAAAGGGATATTACCTCGGTTATAGGGGGAACCGAGGCATATAACCCTGTAGAAATCTTCTCTCTCATCTGCAAGTCAGACTTTTCATCAGACAAACTTTTCGAAAATAGGCTATTACCTCGGTTATGCAGGGGAACCGAAGCGTATAACCCTCTACCAACTCAAACTTTTCATACGAACAGTTTTCTCCTTCCTCTCCACGAACACCCCAGATAGATCTTCCTCTCCACGAACACAGTACTACTTCTTCTCCCTCGCTGCCCCGCACCTCTGCCTCTCTCTCGCGCCTCAATCTTTCTCTCTCGCATTGCGCCTCTGTTCCTCGCTCGCGCCAACATCTTCGTCGTCGTGCCTGCGCCTCCGCCTCCGTCTCCCTCGTAGCGCCTACGACTCCGCCGTCCGTTGACGTGGCCGACAACTTTCAAGGAAAGTCACGGTGCTCCTGTAATTCAAATTCCGAAACTAGCAAGGGTAAGCGAGCTCCATTCTTCTTCTTTTTCATTTTTTTAGATTTTCGAATAGGACATTCGATTAACTACTAGGTTATATTCGCGGATTGAAAAGGCGAAAAAAAAATTAAAGCAACTTGCTCAATCTTGGCGTTCTCAATGCAATCAGATTCGCTATCGGAAAAGGTTTTGGTGCTCACGGAGGAGGAGGGGGAAGAAGAAGAGGAGGATTGCACAAGATGGTGGTGGAAGAAATGGACCGAGGCCAAGGAGAAATGGACCGATGGCAAGGAGAAATGGTGGCGGAAGAGGAGGTTTTGGTTCCCAATGATTCCTCTGAGGCGGAAGAAATAGATTGAGGCCGAGGAAAAAACACTAATTGACAAGTACGGGGAGATGGTGGGGGACGGTTCGTTGGCGAAGATGCGGACTCGCGAAAAGAAGTTCAAGTCGATTGCTTTTTAGTGCACCACGTGCGCGATCCTGTGGCGTACCCTTGGCAGTGGAGTTGGAAGGACGTTTTTGGGGATGGGGATTTTGGGACTGCTATGGATGGGTGTTGACAATGAGGTGATGGGGTTAGGGTTTGAGTATGAGGCAGAGGAAGGGGAGGTGAATTACAATGGGAGTGGTCGAGAGAGGGAAGATGCGGCGAAGAAAGGCTGGTGCAAAAGAAAAAAAAACACTCTACTACCTCGGTTCAGGTCTCAACCGAGGCAGTAGAGTCCACAATACTGCATCGGTTCACAACCGAGGCAAAAAGGGGTAGACTTTTTGCCTTGCCTGTATATGCCTCAGTTCAGGAACCGCGGCCTATGAGCCATAAATAACCGTTGTCGTTTACCTTAACTGCATTAGTGGTTAGTTTGTTCCGGGCCTTGAGGCATACTAGAAGACCCCAAGACTAAGACCTCCTGATAATCCTCACGACATGGATCAATCCTCTCTACTTGAGAATGAATGACCATTGAAGTTTCAGGATAACCCCCAAAACTGAGCTCCTGCATTCATTATAAATAAACTTGAACCTCACCAAGAGATTCCACATGAAAACTTACTATACCACTTTGAAATCACACTTTAACTCCATTTGAATCAAAATTTATCCACTTTAATTCCATTTGAATCACAATTTATCTCTTTGATACATATATAACTCAATACACTCTCATACATAATCCAAGATAAATAATCACATCATTCAAATCAAACAAGCACACATAAGAAAAGAGTAAACTAAAATCTGGACCAGTCGCAAAGCGCATACCCTCGTTAAGCCAAACCCACTAGACAGTGGATTAGACCCTCAACTCACTCGCTCAACGCATTCATTCGCTATCCGAATAAAACTGACAGTGCTCCCATACCTCAACCATTCGCTCAACGCATACCATTCGTTATCCGAATAAAATCGTCAGTGATCCCAAACCTCAACAATTCGCTCAGCGCATACCATTCACTATCCGAATAAAACCGACAGTGCTCCCAAACCTCAACAATTCGCTCAGCGCGTACCATTCGCTAAGCGAAAGTCGTTAGACAGACAACCCACCTCTATCACCACTCGTTGAGCGAATTCACTCGCTTAGCGAGTCTGCATAATTCTGCAACACCAAATCTACAGAATTACGTAACATACATCAAATTTA